ATATATATATATATGACCTGCTGTTGGATTAACAGCTCTGTTTTATAGCACTCCAGGGAAAAATGAGATGTTTCTCCAATGGGTGTCAGCACTCCATTATCCCGACAGTTTAACTACACGCAGTTCTCCAGAGATTCCTTCGCCAGATTTAGCTGCAGATGCTGCTCAACCTGTTGAAGGCATAAAGCACTGATGACAGAGTTGCTTACAGGCACAATCAGAGTGCAGGAGGAAGATGAATCATTTGTGCAACAAACCGTGAGTGGAATGACCCAGACAGAATCCACAACTACTTTAAAAAATAAAAAAATAAAAAAAAAAGAATCTGGCAGCAGGTTGACACAGGAACTGACTAAATATTTCCGCCTGTAATTGTGCTGGTAGACAAGTGAGCAAACTAACACAGCAGGTGACCTAGATTTTCACAGCAGCTTTAATAGATTAAAGTTGATCCTAAATAGAAACACGGTGTTGGTGGCGCTCATCTTAGATCYCATCTTGTGTGAACTGAAGCTTGCTGTTCTAAATGAACAGTCTTGGTTTGTGTGTGTTTGGGTCTAGAGTTTCTAAAAGCAAACAGTATTTTTAAATAGAAAGAAATCTAAAACCTGAGGATATTGTACATGATTCTCAGAGGTGCAGCAAATATGGAGGCTTTGTTTAATCTTGCAGGATTGTGTGTGTTTTAGGTGCTGAATGTCAGTTTGATGGAAGGGGAGCAGGTGACGGTGGAGGACACAGGTGGTCAAGAACCTCTCATCCTGGCCAACGAGTCCGTCTTGATGAGGGGCCTTGTTCTGCGCAGCTGGAGCAACCAGATCTCGATCCGCTTTCGGAGCAATCAGCGAGTGAATTCAGCATTCCTCCTCCTGCTGCATTATCAAGGTAAGCTAACGTTTTCCAAGCTTTATTCGTACACACTGGTGTGGAACAAGATGGACTGAAATGTGGAATTAGGAACTTTAAAAGCAAAAAGCATTTTGTATTGTTATAGTTTTTAACTTTCTTTTTCTCAGATTCAGGACCGTATCAGGTCAAAGTTACTGCCAGTTAATTAGAGAGTAAAGTATTTTTTTTCTATACAATGACTTTTTTAAATTGTCAAAAACTTATCCTAAAACACAACTAATTGCATATATTATGGAAAAATGACTATATACAAAACACAAATATGTAAAACCATGAAAATTAATATTATATTTTTTAATCGTATTTGATGTTTGTGTCACATTTGTCAATTTTACTTTCTTTATGCCTCATCTTTTTGTTTCCATTAAGTTAACTTCAACATTAATATATACACAAAAATAATTTACATTTTATTCTGCTTTGTCATGGTAAAGAAGCATCATGAAAACTTTGTTTTGTAAACTCAGACTAAATGTACCACATAAAATGGGTCTTTAAATTGATGAAATACTAGGTGAAAAGTTTACCCACTTTACAAAATACTTGCGGTATTGGTACAGATACCAACGTTTTAACAAGTACTTAAACTTGTTCAAAACGCCCCATTACCAATTTATACAAGTTGAAAGAATAGTCATCTGTTATTTTTATTTATTGAAAAATTTTGCAACAGTATACATCATGCTGTATATTTGATTTGATCCA